ACTTTAGAACAGAAAACAGAAAGAATAATGAAAAGGAATCAGGATAGTTTAAGAGAACTCTGGGACAACATGAAGTGCTCTAATATTTGCATTACAGGGGTCCCAGAACGAGAAGAGAGAGAGAAAGGACCTGAGAAATTTTTTGGCAAGATAATCACTGAAAACTTCCTTAGCTTGGGAAAGGAAACAGTCACCCAAGTCCAGGAAGCATAGAGAATACCACACAGGATCAACCCAAAGAGGAGCACACCAAAGCACAGTCATCAAATTGACAAAAATTAAGGTTAAGGAGAAAATATTAAAATTAGCAAGAGAAAAGCAACAAATAACACACAAGAGAACTCTCATAAAGTTATCAGCTGATTTTCAGCAGAAACTCTACAGGCCAGAAGGGAGTGGCACGATATACTTAAAGTGATGAACGGGGAAAACTTACAACGAAGAATACGCTATCCAGCAAGGCTCTCATTTAGACTTGATGGAGAAACTAAAAGCTTCACAGATAAACAAAAGCTAAAAGATTTCAGCACCACCAAACCAGCTTTGCAACAAATGTTAAAGGATCTTCTCTAGTCATCAAACCATAAGAGAAGAGAACAAAAAGAAGAAAGAGGGGGAAAAAAAAGACACACAAAAGATTGCTTTGGTTGTTCAGGGTCTTTTGTGGTTCCTTATAAATTTTGGAATTGTTTGTTCTCGTTCTGTGAGGAATGTCTTGACTATTTTGCTAGGGGTTGCACTGGATATGTGGATTGCTTTGGGTAGTGTGGCCATTTTGATATTGTTGATTCTTCCAATCCAAGAGCACAAGAAATCTTTCCACTTCTTTGTGTCACTTTGGCTTTCGGAGTATAGGTAACCTCCTTGGTTAAGTTTATTTCTAGGTATTTTGTTGTTCTTGATGTAATGGAAATGTTTATGCCGGTTATAAAGTTCTGGTTTTTGAAGTGAAAGAAAAAGTAAAGGGCCGCAAATGACAAAGTATCCTTCTTTCTTATGAGATGTATTCCATTACATATTCGTATGCTGCATCTCCATTATCTACTCAACTATTGATGTGCACTTAGGATGCTTCCATATCTTGGCAATGACAAATAATGTTGCTGTTAACAGCAAGGTGTATGTATCTTTTTGAATTAATTTTTATTTTGTGGTTGGCTTTATTCCTTTGATAACTATG